ATGCACCCAGGGACCATATTTTAAGTGAAATAAATCAGATACACAAGTTTAAATATAGCATTGTTTCTCTTGTATAAGAAACTCAAAAGGTAAATAAGGAATTAATGGAGAATAGACATGAGGAAGTAGGAAGAACATGTTCAAATGGGAAAGCAAAGAAGGGAGGGGGAAAGGGAAATGGAAAAAAGAGAATTGAAGAAGGACCCGAATTCAACCCACGGTACCAAAAACAAAAGAGAGAGAGAGAGAGAGAGAGAGAGAATTGAAGATAAAAATGAAAAGAAACTTTTATGAAAAGGGAGACAAAGAAGGGTTGAAGGAAAGGGAGGTGAATGGAAAAAAAATTAAGATGTGTTATGTACAGGTAAAGTTCTCTATGATGAATGCGATCATTAGGCATGATAAATATGTACTAATTTTTTAATTTTAAAAAATAAAACAGCAGAACAACAACAACAAATCACCTGTAGAAGTGGTATCACATTACACTTCTAAAATTCAGATTGGGGCTCATCATGATAAATATGTACTAATTTTTTAAATTTTAAAAAATAAAACAGCAGAACAACAACAAATCACCTGTAGAAGTGGTATCACATTACACTTCTAAAATTCAGATTGGGGCTCATAAATGTAACCTGAGAAAGGCTTAGAAGTATATAATTTTTATAATTACCAAAATTTGCATTCAGGTACTAGTATAGCAACAATGTGCATTTTATTCCTGTGTATAATTTGGGCTTCTGGATCTGTTAAAAATTTAAATTTACTGTGAAGAGGCTAGAATCCAGGATATGAAAGACAACATTTGGAATCCAAAAGTAGCTATCCTCTCCAGGATAGAAAACATGAGTTATTCCTGTTTCTTGTACATACACCCATTTGCATACGGCTGCCACCCACCTTCAAATCTTGGTTTTACAGGTAGGATCTCCCTCCAGCACTAAATAATGTTAAATATGTAATCTTCTGGTAACCAATAAGAGAAAGTGAGCATTTTATCTCTGAAGTGTTATGGTCAGTTTATTAAATTCAATGGTGAAAGTTATCAGAAGAATATTCTCCTGAAAGTTATTTTTTTCTTAGAAAAAACAAAAAAAAAAAGGAAAATTAAAACCCTGTCAGCACAGCCACAGATGCTGTGGCTGTCGAGCTCTCCAGAGATGGTGCATCAGTCCCCTGAGTCGCTCCCTGGACCAGCAGGGTTGTAGTCTGGGTCGTCCTCAACATCCTCCAGCTCCAAGTCATCCATCTCCTGGAACAAGGACTCATCTACTTCCACATTATTTCCAGCTGTGCAAAGAACATATTTCACATTGAGTTTTATACAAGGAATGAAAGACATAACTCATTGGCAATAGCAAACAGAAGCTTCTGAATATGCATGTCAGGTCCAAATGATGAAATCCCAAATCCCAAATGCAAATCATCTCTATTTTGGTCAACAGAGATGCTGAGATGTTAAGAGCAACTTCATTCTTCCATTTTAGTCTAAGATTCTAGTTATTTAAAAGTCACTAGAATTATTACTTATAATGTGGAATGTTGTACGTTGAAGACAAGGGTGATGAGACACTGCTTTGGTTATGCAGTTGATATCACTAGTTCTTGTAACGGCAGTTATCACTTCTAAACAGTTGCAGACATGCACATCATTAAAGCCTGTTAACTGGTATTTAAATTGACCTTTACTCTCACCCAGTTCTCTTTGTAACCACTGGTGTCCTTCCAAGATTCCACATACCTAAGCTCTGGAAGAAAAATAGCCAAGCTCTACACTAAACTCCTTTAGCTTTGTCTGAAACAGATCGAAGCAGATTATAGCACACTTGATCACCAAAAATTGCTATCTTCCTTTCTTCTCAGACTCGAGTCTACTGAAATTCAGTTCAGTGAAAACAGAAAGAGAATGAGTCTTGCTTGGTGCCTATGAGAAGTTCGGTAATAAAAATACAATATACTAAGTGCAGGTCAAAGAATAACTTAATTTTGCATTGTCAGTGAACGATCCACAAAGCAGATGAAGTCTAAAATGCTTTGGTGATAAATCTGAATCCACCAAGAAAAAACAAACAACAAAACAAAACAAAACAAAAAATGGAGCTGGATGAAGCAATTCTAGATAGGAGTACATGCAACGGCAGAGAAAAAAGAAAAGAGCTTGACAATTTCTAACTGGAAGAGAAGATTTGAAGAAAAATACCTTAGCATAGTTTAATAGATAAGGAATAGAATATAGGTCAACCTTTTTTTGTAAGCAGTAGAAATCCAAGTTTTATAAAGTAAATATGGTTTAGAAATAACATATCACAGACAACAATTATAAAATACTGTAGATAAGGGCATTAAAAGGAGGAAGAGATACAGGGAAAGAATTTATCACAAAAGTCCCAGTGAAAATAATAAATCCTTCAGGTAAGAAGAAACTGCTGAGAAGGTATTTCAGTGGCAGAATCAACAAATATTATCTAGTAACTTACTTCCAATGACAAGCTTGATCTACTAGAGAGGGAACTGAGTCAAAATGAGTGAAGAGACTAAAACTGATAAAGCACAAGAAACAATGAAATAAATTTTTTTTGTTGTTGAACAAAAATCTTGGTAAAAGTGCTACAAAGAATATCGTAAGGCTAGGAGTGCAACTCAGTAGTAGAGCACCTGGCTAGCATACATGAGGCCCTGGGTTTGATTCCCAGCACCAATTTTAAAAAAAGTGTGTGTGGGGGAGTTGAATACCATTAAAGGGCGAAGCTTACTTTTAAGAATGACAGCAGTGGGCCACACTGACCTTGCTTCTTAATCTTCTTTAGCAGATAACCAGGGTTAAAACTGGTTCTGGAGACTGTCTCGCAAGCATAACGACCTGAGTTCGATCCCTGGTACCAAAAACAAAAGAAAGAAAACAAGAAAGAAAACAACCTCCAACCTAGGATGATGTATCCTGCAAAACTCAAAGTTGTTGGAGAAATAAAATACTTTCATGACAAAGAACACCTGAGAAACTTCATGACTACAAAACCAGCACTTCAAACAAATTTTTTAAATATCCCAGAAAAAGACAATGAAGGTCACAACTCCATGAGCCCCAACAGAGCAAATCCAATAGGCAAGAATTTAAAGAGAGGGGGGAAAAATAAAAAAGAACCAACAACAGGAAAATAACATGACAATGCGAAGTCAATACATATCAGTTATAACCATCAATGTCAATGCCTCAATTCACCAACCAAAAGAATAGTCTGACAGAATGGATTAAGAAGCAAATCCAACAATATGTTCTATACAAGAAACACACCTACCTGAAAAAGAAACTCATAGACTGGAAGTAAAAGGATGGAAAACAGTTCTCTATATGACAGGAACCCATAAAAGAGTAGGGGTAGCTATCTTATTTGCAGACAAAGTAAATTTCAAACCAAATCTAATTAAGAGATATAAAGAAGGTCACGATATCCTTGTAAAGGGAACAACACAATAGGAAAACATGACAATGGTAAATACATATGCACCTAACACCAAGAAATCACTGGAGAAAACAAGCCTGGAGATCTATTTTCCTGTGAATGTCAATTAATTTAAAAACTTGTTTGTTCACTAGGAGGCATGTGAAATGGATTCATATTAAAATGGAACAAGTGAAAAACCTAGTATGCTTCAGAGTCCTAGAAAAAATAGTGTGTTTCACTCCCCATTTCTAAGGCCTGTGATCCTAAATATCTTTCTATCCTAGGCTCTACTGATTCTAATATATTTTAAAAAGATAAGCTATAAAATCAATTATAAATTATGTGTGGAGATGTTTTCCTTTTGTCAGATGCTGAGTATATATACTTTCCTTGTAGAAAGCTGTCGAAACAATCATCTTGCTCAAGACAGGGCTTGAGGGGCATGCTAATAATTACAGGGTGAGGCATGTCATACCACTTAATTTATTTTTTCCTGCTTGCTCTTCTTCTTTCATCCGTTTCCTTTTAATTTCCAAGAGTTCTGCATCAAACTTGGCTTTCCAACGTAAGAAATTCTCAATTGTAACAGGGGTGCCGTGGAACAGTTGCTTAGGAAAACAAAAAGCCATGAGTCATTAGATTAGTAAGATAGCAGTTTAACAAGTAGAAGTGTATCTTCTAGACAAACAGAACCACTGTAATATGAGAAAAAGAAAAATCATTATTTGAAACTCTGAAACATTTAATCTGATTTCTGCCCACACCGCCTCTTCTCTCTGATTTTGACAGCTGACTCTAGCAAAGCCCATTTCTACTTTTATCCCAAGAAACAAATGTGCCGTGTATTTACTTTACTCACCATGGCTGCATACTATTTAGAAGAAAGTTGTTGCCATTATTAAAATGTTTGGAATTTATAACATTAAGGATCATTATTTTTCAATTCATTTTAGAATTTGAGGTTTTCTTTACATTAACTCTTTAGAACACTGTCTAAAGGGCTTTATAAATTTAAACTTGGCACCACAGACTAATTAATTTATATTTCCTGATCTTACTTGCAAGAGCTTTTACTCTACTACCCTGATTATCTCAGTACTTGTGTGATCCCACCACCATATAAGACTAAAATCTCCTAAAGTAAAACTTCACTAAAATTTCTTTTATTTACTGATTCCAAAAATTTACTGAAAATGCTTCCAAGAAATAAAAGGAAAAATTCGATTTCCAATTAACCACCAAACATATTTAAAGAATGAAAGAAAACAAGGCTTTTAAATGTACCTTCTCTGCTTCTTCTGCTTCTTTTTCTTTTAGTTTCTTTTCTTCCTCTCTTCTCGTTTTTAACTGATCTATTTCATTTAATTTTTCTTGCACTGCTGTCACTAGAGTAAAGATCATGACCACACCAAGATTTTCCTCAGCCTATATAACAAGAAAGGTGATGAAAAACACACTTCTCAGAAAAACAAATAAAAAAATGGGTTACTGTGAGCACCATGCAATGTTCATTTGACCATTTCAGAAGTGAGTGTATTTTATTTTAAGGCATTTAATTTGAAATACCTAATGTAAAGCAAATACTTCAGGTTGGTACATTCTGTTTAATAATCATATAAATAGAATTCAGAGAGCCATTTCCTGTAGTAACGAGTAACATTTCTCTAGCTCATCTTCAGTACGTTAGTTCTTTATGAAGTTTTGACAGTTAGTATTTTATTTTAAGGCATTTAATTTGAAATACCTAATGTAAAGCAAATACTTCAGGTTGGTACATTCTGTTTAATAATCATATAAATAGAATTCAGAGAGCCATTTCCTGTAGTAATGAGCAACATTTCTCTAGCTCATCTTCAGTACGTTAGTTCTTTATGAAGTTTTGACAGTTAATTGAATTGGGAGGCCAGAAGGATTTTCTCATCTAAATTACAATGATAAAGAATGCGGGTATTTTAGTTACTTACCTTTACTATATTTTTTGTTTAGATATGAAATGTTTAAAGCCAGATGTAAAAGCATCACCACATAAAAGGGATGTAACTCAAAAACTATTAGATGTTGTCAGTGAAGACAGAATAAAATAGACATGAACATTCTTTAAACAGACACTAGCCACAATCTCAGTCCCAGGAGTGGGATTACCGAGCACTCACTTCTCTGGGAGGCTGACTTCCACAATAAACATGCTGAACGGGCCTTCTGTAAGGATTGGTTTTCAGACCACTACTGTAATTCTGTTCAGTAGGGCTTATATATATCCGTACGCAATTAATCACCCCCAGTTCCCGACTAAACAAAATTCTCTGGAGTGCCAGACTGGTACTGTGTAACAATGACCCACTGTACAGTGACTTGATGTCAATGCTGTAATTTTATCTAGAGGTCCCCAGAGCCTCGTGTACTCTGACTTGCTGTTAGGGGTGGGACCTGCGGGGCAGAGGAAGACAGTCATGAAGGTCGTGACTCTGAGGGGTACCTTTCCCTCTCCCGGCTGCCATGATGTGCACAGCCTTCCTCAGTCAAGCCTCTAATTTTTGTTTATTTGAGACAGGGTCTTGCTATGTAGTTCAGGTTGGCCTCAAACTCATGAGGATCTTCCTGCCTAAAGTACTAAACTTACAGGCATGTGCTACTACACCCAGCAAATGCTTCCCTTCTAATGAGGATCAAGTCCATATCTTTTAAACAGTTTAGGAAAATCTTCTGAAGAAGAAAGTAAGCACTTTAATTCCATCATTTACCACCACCCAACTTCAGATTTTAATTCAATTAATTTTGCATCACTAGGCAAGGCATTCTAAAGAAATAAAATCAATCTCTCTCTCATTTAAGTTTATTCTTCTACTGTCTTCTACCTTCTGATTGCCTGGCAAACTTTCCTAAGGTCTCAGCTTCCTCTTTGGAAGCTTCTGCAGTGCTTCCTGTTAGCGTCTATCCATATAAACCTGTACTTTACTATCACAGCATTTTTTTTTTTAAATCTGGGATACCGGTTTCTAGTTTGCCAGTCCACATTCCCCAGTGCAGTATAAAATCTATGAGAGCAAAGATGGTGTCACGAAGCCTAGTGTTTGACACATCTCATAAACAAATTCCACTAGGACATCTGTTACAGAAGCTAATCATTCCAATGGAAAAGCAAAAATAACTCACATGGAAATTGGGCAATTCAGAAGTCATACTGATTTGGCATCTCTAGTATTTGAAGAAATGAAAATTATAACTACAATTTTCATCTTATTATTATTATTATTTATTTTTATTTCTAGGTACCAGGGATTGAACTCAGGACCTTGCTCTTGCAATGCAGGCGGCACAACCATTGAGCTAAATCCCCAGCCCTCATCTTATTAGTATTTTATTTCTAAGTGAAAATATCTAATGTTAGCCAATGTGCCAAAATTAACTGCTATCATATAAACAGATACTTCTGTGACTGTGGTGAGATCATAAACTGGCGTTATCATTTTGAAGGCCGATTTGGGAGGATGTTTGAAATTGCTAGTAGGTACGTACTTTTCATTTAGCATTCCCACTTCTAGAAAATGCCAGATTAGTACACTTATCAGTGATTCATTCTTTTCCTTTATTCAATATTTGCATATCCCTCATGTGCCAAGCACTAGAGATATAAAGGAGGACCTGCTCTAAGTATTTACAAATCATCACACATAAACAAAAATGTCAAAAAAATTATATATTAAATGAAGCACAAGTGAGAAATAATTCCAAGACGTTCTTTAAAAGATACAGAACCATGCATGTAGTTATCAAAAACGATGATTCACATATGTTTATGCACACTGTTATATAAAAGAGGGTGGTATAAAACATTAGGTAAAGATCTAACTTGGGTTGGGAAGGGTCTACGTATCTAAATATAGAAAATAAATCTGGCATCATCATACCAAATAATTTATATTTCTACACGCTTGGTAGGATTAAGAGTAATCTTTATTTTCTTCATGACTTCCTGTATTTTCTTTCTTATACATTATTTTGATAACTGAAAGATAATGCTGCTTTTGGAGAAAAAGTATAAGCACCTCCTCAAAACTTGATCCCAGGCAACTGTTAAAGAGACTTAAAATGTCTTTTTGAAGCCATGCGAGGTGGTGCACACCTATAATCTCAGGACTATGGGATGCTGAGGAAGGAGGGTAACAAATTTGAACCCAGACTGGGATATTTAGTGACACTGTCTCAAAATTAAAAATAAATATTAATAAATAATTAATTTGTAAATAAATAAAAACTAAGAAAAGGTTGGCTATATAGTTCAGTGAGAAGACCCTGGGTTCAATCTATAGGATACTCAAGAAGGAAATTGTGGGTTTTTTTTTTTTTTTTTTTTTTCACCGACGATTGAACTGGGGTCCTTGTGCTTGCGAGGCAGGCACTGGAACCACTGAGCTAAATCCCCGGCAGAAAATTGTCTTTGTGAAAACAGATTGAGTGAGTATAAATGAAATACAAATATACATGGAAAAATTCACTCAGACTGAATGTAAGTGTGTGACTGACTGACTATAGTGTAACTACCTCAGGTTACCTGCAATGTTTTCAAGTGAAACATGTTAAGCAAATTATAATTTCATGCTGGATAATAGAGCGAACAGGGCCCTGGATCAGCAGAAACGCATGCCTGACAGACTTCCAAGCCTTTTTCTACAGTTCCAAGTACTTTTGTTATAAAATCAACATTCAGAGACCCATCAATCCTAAGAACGTCCAAGTCACATCTAAGGTAGATACATGTTTTCTGACTAGTCTTAAAAACAAACTACTAGGACTGCTGATTTTACAATAGTGGAATAAGGACTTCATTTTTCTTCTGTTATGGCTTATATCTAGATGTTCCCATAAAGCCTCATGCACTGATAGAGCTTTTGGAAATAACTCAATCATGGGTATGTGGCACAGAATTAGTCCACTGATTGGTTTAACGTCATTTTGGGTGTGGATGATGGATTTACTGAAGGGGGAAGACCCACCATTGCTGGAATAAAAAGGGAAGGAAGGAGGATATCTTGCTATTTCTTGCCTGCTACACCATGCCCTGCTGCCCTGCCTTAGAACCAGACAACTACGGACTGAAACTTCTACGAACTATGAGCTAAAATAAACCTCTCTTTTTTTAATTTGTGGGTGTCAGGTACTTTGTCACAACAATGAAAATCTAAGACACTACCCTACTCTTTACTCTTAAGTTCCAAAGTAAACTCTATCCAAGGACAAGTGAACTACACACCCCGCACATACTGTGGGTAGCCCACCTTATAACAAACCTAGTGCAGCAAAGAACTTCCCAGTATCCATTTTTTCCTCTGCATAACCCTCACCTCTTAGAGAGGTCATAACCCATAATTGGTATTTATAAATTTAAGGAAAGAGATGGAGAAAAAAAACTAGTCATAGTTACGTGCAGGCAATAGCCAGTAAAAAGGGAAAGAGAGGGGCAGTGTTAATTTGTTTAATGTTAGAATTTTTAGCTACACCACGGGACTAGATACTCGAAGAACTAACTCAGAACTGTGCCTACAACTTAAAGTAACTGTTGGGCTTGTTTTTTTAAATCACTGAGTGAACAGACCGAGTTTCAAACAGGAACACTGGGACAATCTCCATTATTCAACACTGAAATGGCTATGGAAAACAAAAAGATGCTCTGTGATTATGCATCATGAATTCTGCTTGCCATTGTACTATTTACACACATTTACAGCATTTTCTAATCCTTAAATGTAGAAATTTAAGACCAAGACAAGAAGGTCATTACAAAACTAAATTGCAATTCCCTTACCTGTAATGCTAGTAATTTTAAAATGTCTATGACATCATTATCTTCTAGGTTTTCCTGGGAAAATATTTCATAAAGAGGAGCTTCATCTGGGTATTTTTCACTGTATGTAAACTTGAGAGTAGTCTGGACAGCTAAGACAAAAGAGTCTGACGTGAGCACATTAAAAATATAGAGACCAGTATTTTTGTTGACTCAGTAATTAATTGACAATCTGTCAATGAAAACTAGCCTAACAGATTTTCCTACAAAGAACAGTGAAGGTTACTAAGGGACCAGGTAAATAACCACTGATATAAACAACACACACCACAGAGTAGTAAATGAAACAAATCAAGGGAATACCGAAACATCACTTCTTAAAACAAGAAACACACTTATCACCTGTTGGCCTTTTACAAAAGCTATTTAAAAAAAAACAAAAACCTTCCTAAGAGCAACAAAAAGAAATGGTTATAAGACACTGAAAAAGTACTACAGCTTCCACGAAAGTCCACTTAGAGATGTAGACCATCTGGCTGTATTCCTGGAAACTATATTTACATTTGCTAGCAGCACATTGCTAACTGGTGGTGAGATAACAGTTTTGAACTGTGCAGTTTGAGATGTCACCTGCCAATTTACAGATCCAACACTTGTATACAGCACATTTTTTATGAGCACATTAGTGACAGAAAACTCTCTGCAGCCAGGCTCTGTGGGTGCTCTATTCCACCACACAGCTAGAAACTAAGCAGCAATGCTAAACATTTCCTGTGAAAACTTCATTATTCGCAATGATTTTTTACCTAGTCATCTTTATTGTAACACACAATTTATTTACTAAAACCTGTTGATTTTGATGAAGTAACATCCATATTGCTCTTCATGTGAGGGGTTAAGAGTTGCCTCAAAAATTGTGGGTTTGATATTATGTTACACATTTCATACACAATGTCAATGAATGTCAATGCCATGGGACTGACCTCACCTGTGCAAGAATGGTCCAATATACACAGGCCATTCAGTGTGAAACACCACATTACAAAAAATTGTAACACCTCAGTATCTTTGGAAAAAAATCATTTGCAAAACTTCAGTGTTACATTGTTTCACGATAGAAACTGCTCACACACCACGTGCAGAAGGAATAGAGCTCAAAACAGGAAACGTCCTGCAGGACAAGCCCATACCTGACGGCTGCTCAGAGGGTAGAAGCTGAAAGTTTCTCCTTTAACTTCAGGAATAAGACCAGGATTCCCACAGGGCATCTTCCATTCAACACATTACCCGAGTCCCAGAGACTGAAATGAGCCAGGAGAAAAACATCCATATCAGACAGGAAATAGTAAAAGTTACCTACTTTCACAGGACACATACTTGTATACAGAAAACCTAAGACTCCCACTAAAAATCTGTTAGAAATAATGAGTTCAGTGAAGTTTCAGGATATAAATTCTGCATGGAAAAATAGATTCCATTTCTATACATATAAACTATCCCCCAATACATAAAAAACAACTTAATATATAATAGCATCAACAACAATGAATACGTAGGAAAATTTAACCAAATTCTTCTTTTGCCTGAAAATCATGGCACAAGGAGAAGGGAAGAGTTATCACAATTATGGAGACATCAGTGACACTTTCCTGTAAACACAAAATGTGATCTGAATATTCATATGGAACTACAAAGCACTACAAAATGCATTCCCATGTCTACACAAGAAGATCACAGGTAGATGCATCACAACACTTGATCTCAAAGTATATTATAAAGCGACAGCAATCAAAACAGTCTCATACTGCATGCAACACCAGACACAAAGATTAAATCAGATGGCCCAGACACCAGAATAAATGAAAGCCTACTTTCACTGCTGGGTTTTCTTTTGTTTGGGTATTTATTTATTTGTTTGTTTGTTTGTTTATTTATTTATTTTTGTAGTTTTTGCTGGAGTCTCCTAAGAGATTGGGTCAGGCGGAGCTCTGTGTACACCTTGGCCTCATCTTTTGACAGCACAGCAAGCCCCAAGTGGCTTGAACTCTCACAACTTCCTGGGACTTTTTAGTCCTACACAACGTAAAGGAAACTGTGGGTTAGGATGGCTGTGGGTATATAACCAGATGGACTATGTATACAATGGAACTACAGATCAAAACAGCACATTGTACACTATAAATATGTGCAGTTATTGTCAATAACCACATGAGGATGTAATGTACCTGCAATCCCAGAGCTTCAGGAGGCTGAGGAAGGAGGATCACAGATTTAAGCCCAGCTTGGCTGAAATAGTACATTAGTTAGTGAATTAGTTACCAGTGAATTAGCGAAATAAAAAGAAAACAAAATTTAAAACATATAGATCAATGGAAACATAGATCAATGAAAAGTCCCCGGTTCAAATTCTACGACAAAAAAAATTAGAAAAAAAAATGAACAAATATCTTTCCATACTAATATATCCAGACCCTGAATAGATATATGTAGTAGCATATTTGCAGCCACCTCATTTAAAAGATCAAAAACAAAACTGAAACAATGAAATTCCTGAAAGGAGATCAGTTTCTACATGATGGTAAATACAATGCAAGGTGTGTTGACTAAGACACACAGAAAGAGAAACTGAAAGGGTTTTTGCATTACTTAAATCTTAGGTGATTTTTAGGTGCTCCTCTTCACATTTTCTCCAAAAAAAAATTTTTGAATTTGTATAATATAAACAGCTTGTCCTCATAATGACTATACAAAATCAAATCACAACGCACTGAACATTCTAGGACAATTTCACAATTCTCATGAAAAATAAACAAGCAAAGAAAGTGAAAAAAAAAGAGCAACAACAAAAATTCTCAAGCTCTGTTGAAGACAACTGCTTCCAAACACATTTTAATAATTTTAAAATTAGGGCCAGGGAATCAGCTCAGTGGTTGCACCGCCTGCCTTGTGAGTGCAAGGATCTGAGTTTTATCCGTTGTACCCCCCCC